CGTTTGGTGTAGACCAAACGATAGCTTTTGGCAGTGTCCTTGGACAGCAACACGTTGCCCTGGCGAAGTCCTCCGCGAATGATGCGGTGTGGGTACGGGACAGTGATGTTGGCTTGATCCCTCTGACAGACGAGGTTCTTCATGCTGTCAAAGTTGACATGTTGGCTCGCCCTGTGATTTAAAGTAAATCTTCGGACTTTGATGATGCCCCTCTGCCGTCAGATTGAGGATGACGCAGCTTGTAGCCATAATTCTTGGGTCCTGCCGAGACAAAGGTTTGAATGCTGTTGCCCCCTCCCAGTTCATCAGTCAGCTCACCCAAGGTATCTCCCAGTAGAGGGTCGTAGCTTAGTGGACGGTGAATGTAGATGATACTGTCCGTCTCAAAATAGAGGACACGACGGTCCAAGGGTTGCAAATAAGAATACAACTTGAGACAGGCTTGTGCTGTCACCCAGGCTGCAATGGCCACATTGTGGGCTGGATGGGGGTCGTGAAATTCCGCCTGAGGTTCGTCAGTGACACAGATGAGGTCTTCATTGATGATGTTAATGTCTTTCACCACACAGCGCTCATCCCGGAGGAGGGCAAAGTACCTCTCAGGGGAACTGATGTATTCCGTCTTGGCAAACCCAACGCATTGCCCAAACTTACCCCAGTGATTGTTCAGGCAGGCTTTTGCTAAGGCACGTAGTCCTGGGTTTTTGCGAATGTGAGCAGGATCCAAGGTGACTCCTTCTTTTTGCTGTATCTCGTTGATGTAGGCGTCTGGGTCTGGACAACCTTCTGGGTATCCACTGGCCTCTTGCTTGATCTTGAAGAAATTGTTCACATACTTGGCAAACAGCCCTTCCTCTTGAGTGTCAGGGTCATAGGTGGCGAGCGTGTCAAAGTGCCAAGCCTCAAAGATGTGAAGCACTTGATAACCACACTTTTCAACAGCATACTGAAGCTCCTTGCTGACGTAGGTACTGATCCATGCCCGGTCTTCATCCCCGTGGGGGCAGGGAGCATCCAACTGCTCTTCAGCACAAGTACGGCACAGAGGAAATAACAACTTACCCTGGACACGGTAAGGAAGAACAGGATGATAGAGGTCGCTGGGTGGTAAGACACGGCACTGGATCAGACCGTGGAGCTCAAACAAGTCAGACACGAGAGGATGATCTTTGATCTCGGGATGTCCCACGGGGAAAGTGCCATACTTGCAGATGTAAGGGTACAGCGAGCAAACATCCACATATTTAATTTCTTCATCTTCTTTGGCTTCATAGTACAGTTTGGTGGCATTGGTACGTCCTCCAAAGAAAGCATCTCTGGGATCCAACGGGTCAGGCATGTAGGCATGGGGTCCTTGCAGTGTGGTCAGGAAGGCTCTCAGGTCATCATTGTCTTTCTGTTGTTTCAGAAAATCACATTCCCAGAGGGTCACCACTTGGTCAATGTCGGGATGTTGACGTAACACACCCAGTCAGTACATGGTATGATGGTATCGTTCCCAAGGGGTTGTACCCAAGCTACCACGGTGTTCACATCGGCCCATCTTGTAACAGCGAGTACACCCATGCCAGAAACAGCCCAAGTATTCATACACGGTGCGTGTCTTGGCGTCGTAGCCATCCACCATGTAGTGACTGCCATCAGCACAGTCAAAGCCTACTTCTCCAACATTACGGGCATGTTGGATGTGGACACCAGGGTGTTGATGCATGACCCAATTGAGCCAGTGGAGACACTGAAGAGAGTAGCGACGCTGGGGGCGATAACCTTGAGTAGGTATGATGGCGATGGTGCTGGGTTCCAAAAACTGTTTTCGGAAGGTGAGCATGCAAGCCATGGGTAGAGTCACCACTTCAAAGAAAGGGTCTACGTTGTTCTGTTGGATGAATATGTTGCGGAATGCAGCACAGCCTCGACGCAAAATGTCCACATCACTCTGACAGTAGGTCAACAATTCCTCATCAATATCAAAGACAGCCTCTTCAGCCACCTCTGCATCGTACCAGGCCAAGAAAGCATGACGTTCGGCAGGAAACATGCTGTCAGGATCGTAGGTAGACACGGGAGGATAAGGACCCACATAGCCTTGGTGAGCTTCGGTGTTGAAGAAGTGAGGGAAGTAGCCTTTCTCGAGTTCCGTCAATGCAAACATTTTTGGAAACTGCTTCAGAGCCCTCGTGTGGAAATTGAGTGAATCCTTGAAAACAAGGCGTCCCACGGTCATCTGATGTGTTGACCTGGGGTGCTTTCACGAGATGTTGATGGAAGTACTGTTGGAGCAAGTGTCCATCGTACCCACGGTAGTTGTGAGCAATGACCAAAACGTCGTCATCATCAATGGTAGGTGAAATGTCGTCTTCATCGTCTTGTTCTTCGTCGTCTTGTTGTTCTACATCATCATCGGGTTCTGGTGATGACAGTTTGGGTTGTTTTGAGGCACGGTCCGACGGCTGCTGGTGGGGTACCTTACGTTTCTTCTTCTTCTGTTTCTTTTCTGCCAGGGCCATCAGCCAGTCGCCCATGTCCTTCAAGGTCGTAGATCCCCGAAACACTTTGATGCGGCTAGGCCCTTCTCCTTCTTAACGCCAGGGGCACTTTTCACACAGCTGATCCGAAGCCTCGGCAATACATTTTCCACATCCCAGATGCACCACACAAGTTGGGAACATGAGTCCCTTGATCTTGAGTACATTCAAAGTCGTAGAAGATAAACTGACGCTGTTGTCGTTCTTTGTCTTCCTCCTTGTTTTTACCCTCTTCATCTTGTGAGGGTGGTTTGATGACAGACATGTAGCACTGGTGGTTGGGTTTCAAGGGTTCTTTGCAGATCTTGCAGTCACGATTCGTGCCACACTGATGGTTGGTCATGCCCTGAATTTTTCTCACGTTGACTTTGGCCAGACATCGATGACACGTGTGGATGGTGGAGCAGGTGCTGGAATGCTTGGCGGAGGCTGTCCGATGGCGTTGAAAACAGGTAGGGTTTTGGAACCACCCGCCACATAGGAGACAGGAGAGCCCTTCATTGTCCACGTCGCCACAGTATCCAGGACATTGGCACCAGTGGCATTGAAATTCTCGGGTGCAGCGATTATTTTCAGGGATGCTGTATCCTTGGTCACAAGTTTCACAATAGTAACTATAACCTGTAAAAGCTGACATGGATGTAATGACATCGTAATGCTGATGGTGATGATACAAGTGAAGGATCTTGGTGGGTTGAGCCACTTCACTCTTGTACAGGAGCCGATTCATGACACCTTGGGAGTAGATTTTGAGCTGATAGTAAGGCGCCAAACGTTGAGCAAACAGTTCCCACGTGGCATGTCCTGTACAAGGCCCTTCGGGGATCTTGAGTTGACGAGACAAGCCCTTGGCGGCCTTCACTGGTCCAGACGCGATGTTTTACAGACCCCCTGGGAGGAATATTGCAGAGAGCGCAAATAAACAAAACTACAGTGACGTTGATGTGGCCTTCTCGTTCAAGCATTCGGAGGTGAGGTGAAATTGGGTTTAACGTCGTGCTTGAGAATATTTCGCTCATATGACGACGTGCATGCGTGTGTATGTGTATGTGCGGCTGCTTGTACTAGCCCAGACTGAAACTGGTTTTATAGTGCTAGCCCACTGAGATACCATTCCGCAGTGAAGCATGAATACCCCACTCAGACAAAATATACTGACTCCGAGCCGACCAGTCCTTGTTGTACCCATTAATGCCGAGCGCCAGGCAGGGACCAACAAGTACCATATTTTAACGTCTTTTGGTATTACGCGGTCGGGGATCGAACCCGCGACCTTCCGCTCTCCGGGCGGATGCTCTAACCACTACACCACGGAGGCGGTCCAAGCATTCGGATTTCACCTAAGTTCAATTCCCCATATCAAATGAGATTAAAGAATGCATTTCATAAATGTTTCATTGCTTTGTTACCTTCTATAATTCCCTAACGTATAATTCCTGTTTCACCGCTTGCCAGACCCTAATCCCAATCCTGATCCAAACCCTAGTCCCAATCCAAACAGTACCCCCAAAGTCTGACCCAAATCCCGACAACAGTCCCAACCCTAAAAGAATATGAATTTAATAGAACCTTCAAAATACGTTGAATCTTTGAATCGATGTTTTCGTCCTTATTTTGTTTGCTTGTGAATGGAAAAGGTCACACTTTTCACACCTGTGTCATCCACGTGAACGTATTGCATTGGAATCAGAACTATCTGTGCTTTTAGGATGGTACGAGTTACTCCCCTTACACACAAACCCGCCTGGGATTGGGTGGTCAGGCTCGCTGACTTGGTTGACACAGATCACTGGACTGTCTGGCCCAGACTCGATTATTTACAGACCACCGCCATATAGCTGGTATATTGCTGAATGCGGCGTAAAACTAAACTCACCATGGCCACTCACTCGAACTTACATGTCTCTAGAGTCATGAGAGTACCTCAATGTATTACCATTCGACTGTCACTCTCTCTCTACCCGTGAAGGTCCGGGTTAGAATATTGATATTAACCCACGCTTGTCGTAAGAGACGACTAACGGGATTGGGTGGTCAGGCTCGCTGACTTGGTTGACACATGTCATAGGTTCCCAATCGATGCTCATGCCGTTGATCACTGGATTGTCTGGTCCAGACTCGATTAATTACAGACCGCCGCCCTATTGCTGGAATATTGCTGAGTGCGGCGTAAAACTAAACACGCGCGCGCGCACGCACGCACACACACACACACACTCATGCACTCATGCACTCATGCACTCATGCACACATGCACACATGCACACATACACACATACACACATACATACATACATACATACATACATACATACATACATACATACATACATACATACATACATACATACATACATACATACATACATACATACATACATACATACATACATACATACATACATACATACATACAAGACGCCATCCCACCAAGACATCGCATCCAGTTGGCTGCATGATCTCCAACTATAGGAAGATGTTGATATCTAACGCTTTATTGCCATAATCGTGCTCATGGGGAGGACAGCCGATTAACCTCTAGCTGGAGTTGACAGTCCTTTTGTTCCACATGGAGGTAGGGTGTCGTTCGGCCAATCACATGACTGCAGCGCCTCATTGAAGACAGTTCCTGCACATAACAAGGGAGGTAATCATTTCGAACGTAACCGAGGATTTTCTATCTATGATATCAATATATGTGCATCATCTGAAGCATGTTTTAGTAGTACGTGAGTAGAGATGTCGTTGCTGGTGTTGCACAACCATTGTTGTTATTCTTCTTGTTGTTGTTGTTGTTGATTACCTTGTTTCAAATTACCCCTCCCCCTCAATATAATGTAAGAATTTGGTTAATGTTAACCACGGGAAAGCCCACTGGCTACATATCTCCAGTATAATTCGTCTTCATGCGACTAGAAACCAACGTCATCACACACATCTTAAATTTCCCCATATCACACAATTACTCTCAGCTTCATCATCAGCCTATCCTCATCCTAAGCTTCAAACACACCACACATTTCGCTTTGTTCCATCCTTATCCTAAGGTACACCTTGTTCCGTCCTTATACGTATCTTCACTTTGTCCCATCCTAATGCTTACCTTCGCCATGACCCATCCTTATCCTAAGGTACACCTTGTTCCTTCCTTAAACGTACTTTCACTTTGTCCCATCCTAATGCTTAACTTCGCCATGACCTATCCTTATCCTAAGGTACAACGTGTTCCGTCCTTATACGTATCTTCACTTTGTCCCATCCTAATGCTTACCTTCACCATGACCCATCCTTATCCTAAGGTACACCTTGTTCCGTCCTTAAACGTACTTTCACTTTGTCCCATCCTAATGCTTAACTTTGCTTTGACCCATCCTTATCCTAAGGTACACCTTTTTCCTTCCTTAAACGTACTTTCACTTTGTCCCATCATAATGCTTAACTTCGCCATGACCCATCCTTATCCTAAGGTGTACCTTGTTCCGTCCTTATACGTATCTTCACTTTGTCCCATCCTCATGCTTACCTTCGCCATGACCCATCCTTATCCTAAGGTGTACCTTGTTCCGTCCTTATACGTACTTTCACTTTGTCCAATCCTAATGCTTAACTTCGCTTTGTCCCATCTTTATCCTAAGCTTTAACATAAGCCCATTCTTGGCCAATATTTGCACCTCAACCCATCGTTATCCAAAGCTTCACCTTGTCTCTTCCTTATCCTTATCTTTACCTTGTCCCCTCCGTATACTTCAATATGTGCCAGCTTTATACTTAACGTCAACGCTATCCCATTTTGCAGCTATAATCACCTTATCCATCACTTTATCTTATCCCATCTAATTACTTTTCTTCACCTCTTCCCATCCTTCACCTTATGCCATCCTTACCCTATACTTTACCCTTCACCTTATGCCATTCTTACCCTATACTTTACCCTTCACCTTATGCCATCCTTACCCTATACTTTACCCTTCACCTTATGCCACCCTTACCCTATACTTTACCCTTCACCTTATGCCACCCTTACCCTATACTTTACCCTTCACCTTATACCATCCTTACCCTATACTTTACCCTTCACCTTATGCCATCCTTACCCTATACTTTACCCTTTTCAATTTATCTTATTCCATCGTTATCGAAAACGTTTTCTTATTCATCTATATACATCTCTTCACCTTTCCCATCATTACCATTAATTTCAATTAAATGTCATCCTTACCCTGTACTTACCCTGTAGTTTACCTTATCCCAACATTATCCATATTTCCATCCTTACCCCGTAATTTCCATCGAACGTATAACGCGTCATCCCCATCAGGTTTCTAATCCACCCCAACTCAAACCACCTCGTTCCTCGACTCCACCCGTGCTCTCCACCATCCACGGTTGGATAGCCTTGTGGTTAAAGCGTTCGCTCGTCAAGCCGAAAACCTAGGTTCGATTTCCCACATTGGTAAAATGTGTGAAGCCCATTTCTGGTGTTCCCCCGCCGTGATATTGCTGTACAAAATAAGTGACCCCCCTGCATGTCATGTACAAAATCAATGACCCCCCCTTCCCTTCTCATAATTTCTAAGCATAATTTTAAACATATTTATATGTACAGGATTGCTGACACACACACACACACACACACACACACACACCCTCCTAGTACGTGTGTACAAAATTGATAACCACCAACCCCCTTCTAGCTCCCCAGAACAAAATGGGTGACCCCCTTAAAATCATTATCATCACCCTAGCCATAAGTTATGAACGGTCCCTAAAAGCGGCGTAAAACGAAACTCACTCACTCACTCCATCATCCATGACGTCACTCACCTCCGGGGCAGTAGTTGTGGCCAAAGAATGTTCCACCGTAGCAGGTGAAGTAGGTACTGCAAATTGGATCATGGTACTTCCCGTCACTCAGGACAGAACAGTTCTTGATCTGTGAGCAGAGATTCGACAGCCTGCTGGGACTGGAGACAGGAAAAAAATCACGTTTTCAGACAAGACCAGTTTTTTATGGAAAAAGCAATGACAAGCAGTGTGCGAAATAGTTTACAAAATTAGTTTGCCAGTCGGGTTAGCTATGCCTTAAAGTTACTAGCCCAAAAAATAATTCACTAGCCCGAAATGTGAATGCAGAAACTAAGCAAAAAATACAAAAAGTTAAAATACCATCATTTATCAAGTCATAATCTAAAATGCATTATAACTAAACAAGTCGGAGAGAGTGATATATTTAAAAAATGACCCCATAAAAGTGCATTCGCCAGTCGGGCCAGTGACTTGGAGATTTACTGGCCCATCTGGATTTTTACTAGACACGTGCTTGTAGGCCATTGGCTATTTCGCACACTGATGACAAGAGATACATTTGGTATACATTTGGTCTGACTCAAAACAGTCAGACTCAAATACATGTAATATGCTACCATATGCACGGCCGCTGAGATTCTTCAGCGTGTGGGGACTGGAGACAGGAAAAAAGTCACGTTTTCAGACAAGACCAGTTTTGTATTGGGAAAAAGCAATGACAAGCAGTGTGCTAAATAGTTTGCCAGTCGGGCTAGCTATGCCCTAAAGTTACTAGCCCACAAAATAATTCACTAGCCCGAAATGTGAATGTGTCTGTCATAAACGAAGACTTCTAAGGGGCAGGAAGAACAGATGTGGATCATCTCTTGACCATGTTTATTGAAGTCAAAGAAATGACTGATATTTCTAAAGGAATTCATCTGTTTTCTATGTGTAGCCACGAACCTCTCCAATTAGCGCTGAGTGAACGGGTGAGTTTAGTTTTACGCCGCGCTCAACAATATTCCAGCTATATGGCGGTGGTCTTTAAATAATCGAGTCTGGACCAGGCAATCCTGTGATCAACAGCATGAGCATCGATCTACGCAATTGAGAACGGGATGACATGTGAAAACCAAGTCAGAGAGCCTGACAACCCCATGCCACTAGTCGCCTCTTACGACAAGCATGGTCATGAAGACCAATTCTAACCTGGATCTTCACGGGTAAATTATCGCTGTATTAATGACAACAGACCGAATACTCCTGGGCGTGAGGAATGGTACCTCCAGGTTTGATTGGAGGAACAAACGCTAGAGCATCTTTGTACCATATGCATAATTTGCATTCTTTTTTTAAAATCTGACCTATTCTATGTTAGATCACGAACATCTCGGATAACTCTCGATTAATCACAATAGAATGCATAACCCTTGATTAATCACAATAGAACGGATAACCCTCGATTAATCACAATAGAACGGATAACCCTCGATTAATCACAATAGAACGGATAACCCTCGATTAATCACAATAGAACGGATAACCCTCGATTAATCACAATAGAATGGATAATCAAGGGCGTGGTGGAAAGTACCCCCGGACTTGACATCACACATCAATAAAACATGTCATCAGTAAAACTATACTTTACTCGGCGCATTTCTTTGTTATATCGTCAAAGACCATGTTGCCTTGACATTCCGTTATCGTGGCAACTCCAGCATTACAAGTGACAAAGGCGCGACATCCCTTCTCGTGAACTCCATTACCCTCGGCGACGCAGTCTATCGCAAACGCTGCAACAAGCATTACGTTGCAGTGAATAAAATGAAACTGTGTATTATATGGAAGTCTTTTAGGGCCATTCGTTATTCAATACTTCTTCTTGAAGATTTCATGATGCTAAGGTCAAGTTTCAAGATGCATATTAAGTTGAAATTTCAAGGCAATAATTTTGAAATTTCAAGATAAGAATTTGTCCAAGATCATTATCTTAAATTTTCAAAATAATATGTTGAAATTGGGAGTTACGATCTTGAAATTTAAAGCTAATAAGTTGATATTTCAAGATAATATGTTATTTCAATATAAAAATAAAGAATCGAATGGCCCTAAAAGAATTCCGTAGCATTGAATATCACGAGAAGTTTAGTAGGCTTTTCACCAAGTCCTCGTGTACCATTCAAGATGGCCGGTCAACCACGATTCACAAGGATGTGTTTTAAAATGCTCTCGACATGACAATCGTTACCTGTAATGTATGAGTGGATGTCCGTGTATATTTCACGAACACGGGCGTGGGCAGTTATGAGGGCAGTATATCACATGATGCACGAAAAACCTGAGATCCCTCTTTTAAGGGTAGGCATCCAGCGGTCATTCCAAACGAAGTTATGGCATCCAGTTTTTCTGTACAGATCATTACCATTGATAGTTATAACGCGGATGTCACCCACGGAAAGGGATTTCAAAATATTCTTGAAGCACAGCAGTCTATAGATAGTTGTCGAGATATACATAAGGGGCCGGGGGGTACCAGATCCTCATGGTCCTGGGTTCGAATCTCAAATTCGCTTTGATTATGTTTCTAGGTTTGTCAACACCAAGGTCTTAGACTCACATAGAAGCAGTTAATGTTTGAACACCCTCTACGTAATAATTAATCTCCTCCGTGGTTTAGAAGATAGAGTGTCTGTTCGGAAGGTTGAAAGGGTTTGATCCCGAGCAGCGTTATACCAGAGGGCGGTACAAGAAGATGGCTTATGAAAGGTACAAGAATCAACTCTGATTGTACTGTCTCTATGTGAGGCATCACTCACTCACGCATCCACACGCACACACGCTCGCACACACACGCACTCACTCGCTCACACACTCGCTTACCCACACGCATACTCACTCGCTCACTCACTCACTCATTCACCCAACCCACTCACTCACCTGTCGGAAGGAGAGCTAGCAGCACCAGACAGAGCATGTTGAACCAGACGAAGGAGAATGGCGAACTGGTGGGAAGGACACAGACACTTATCTTTTGCCTAGACTTGCACTCGGTCGACTTTGTCACATGCTCAGTGTTATCGGAGGTCAGTGTGGTTCCGGCCGCAGATAGGATCAAGGTAGGACGCCCATGCACCATGATAAAACATAAAACAGTCCATGACGTAGACTGGTTTATCTGTCCTGAAGCGCTTGCGCATCTTGCCGCAAGTCAGGCTGCCATTTTCAGGAGGATTTCTTCCCGGTAGATTTACGACGTTACCCTCCCCTCACGCCGTGTTATGACGTCAAGGCAACAATGGCGAAAAGGTTACGATGCTGGTTTGGTTTTACAAACCAGTTTCAAACAAACCGCCCTGCAGTCATTTTCCAGCTGATTGACTGCGGTTCGTAATCTCCAGAAATATAATGTAAATCAGAAGATATATATGTCATTGGCCATTTTTTTGTATTTAGTGCTTGTCATACTATATGTGCGGTATATCCTGAACCAGACACCAAGCAGACTGTGCAAGAATCCACTGGAATAAAGTGTAGATCTAATCCACAGCATCGCCCACACTCATTCTTAACGCAATTCGGGGCGGTGGGGTATCCTGATGGTCAAAGCGTCCGCTCATCACACCGAAGACCCGGGTTCGATTCCCACATGGCTACAAAGAGTTAAACCCATTTCTGGTGTTCCCACCGTGATATTGCTGGAATGTTGCTTAAAGCGGCGAAAATCTAAAATTACTCACTCACTGACTAAAGAGACTAACCCAGTCTGCAGTCTGAGATGGGAAGAAGGTCAACTGTGTGAAACTTCCACGTCATGTTACAACTGCCATAGTGTCAGGATAACACGATGTTGCCAAACGACCTATGGAGGTCATTTGTCTTTTCAAAGTATCAAACATAAAATAACAAAAATATTTATTAGAACGACAAATTACAAATATCATCACCTCGTCATTGCATAATAAGTATCTACAGTGCAAGATCTCGATGACCTCGCTGGAAGATAAGGCATGTCCAAATTCTTTTGCAAGTAAATCTGTACTCTTATCTTATGTCTTCCCGTTATCGCAACACTGTCGTGTCTTTGAGCATGTACACAGATTAGAACTGGGCAGTGCTAACAAAAGAAGCCGAGACAGTCGAAAGTCTTCGTCCTAGTTAAACAATCCGAGGTAACTCTGAATATCATCAGTGTCTCGTCCCGCAAGGTGGTGCCACGTGGTTCGGCCAGTCGCAGGTCTTCAGGTCCTGGTTGTAGACGAGGCCTGAAGATAGGATGACAAAATTAGACCAGAGGTAAGCAGTGCAATATATCACTCAATTTTCGATAAGAGTCATCAGATACAAAAATGAAACATACAATTTTGTGGATGACAACTTCTTGTTTATTGCATAGCGCGACGTTGGGTACATTTAGCTTGATAACGAGGTAAGAATCTACATCAAACGTCGCTCTATGCAATAAACACGAACTTGTCATCTATAATGTATGTTTCATTTTTGACTCACCAACTTCTGGAATGCAGATCAATCAACTAGTCATCCGTTTACAATTCACACGCTTATAACGACCTGACGGATATAACGAACTGTTATTGGACCCAACCACGTGTATATTTTAGTCAAAATGCGTTGGCGAACTACAGTTGTACCGAACTAAATGTTTGGTCCCTCTGAGTTCGTTATCACTTTAGTTTACTATATGTCTTTCTATTCAAATATACATTTGACATAAGAGAATCTTTTTTGTTTATCACTGTAAGTATCCCTATTAAAGGTTGGACCCGTGAAAGCCCGGGTTAGAATGAATCGTCAGTAACCCATGCTTGTCAAAACCGGCGACTAACGGGATCGGGTGGTCAGGCTCGCTGACTTGGTTGACACATGTCATCGGTTCCCATTGCGCAAATCGATGCTCATGCTGTTAATCACTGGATTGTCTCGTCCAGACTTGATTCATTACAGACCGCCGCCATATAGCTGGAATATTGCTGAGTGAGGCTTTAAACTAAACTCACTCACTCACTCACTCTATCTAAATATACATTTGACATCTGAGAATCGTTTTGTTTATCACTGTAAGGTAAGTCTTCCTATTAAAGGTTGATTGCTGTAGATTACTTTGCGACGCAAATTACCTTTTTGTTTGAAAGGGGTATAATCTAGAAAATAGCAT